ATTCAAGTTGATATATGTAGAATATTGCAATAAGAGAATAATAGAAAACACATGTAAGCACTTTTGAAGAACGTATTCCGATTGAAGTGCGAAAATAGGGAATTGTAAAAACTGTAAAATATAAACTTTAGTTAAATTCTAATCAGTGAATTAATAAATATCACATTAAGTCCTCTAAAAATATGAAATATATGGTTTACACAATTGTCAAACGCATGAAAGTAAGACACATTGGAACTAAACATAAACTATACTATAAAACAAACCCTTGAAAAGATAAAGATAAACTTTTTCTCTCATATTTAGATATTGCATATTAATACAATTTTAATGCGACTTATTCTCAAATGTAATGGTTATTCTATTAAATTGCAGAACACATTGAAACCTTGTCAAAATGCATCGAAAATGTTAAAATCACAAATTAAATTGAAATAAAGTATATAACACTTATAAGCAGTTAGTTAAAAAAAATATGATTTTAAACTTCTAAATGTTAAACACTAATAAAATTGAAAAAGCTGAAGTTTATGTAAAGTAAATTAATTTTAGATTTTTTTTAAATTTGTTCGTACATTTTTTAATAGGTTTTGTTTGTGTGTGTGGGTGTGTGTGTGTGTGTGTGTGTTTACACATTTTTTCTTTCATACATATTTAATTTTTTTTTGTATATGACTTACAATGTTTTCACGATTTGTATTTTTGCCTAAAAGTAATGACACATTAAAAGTACATTTTGATAAAATGTGTTGTGGTCCAATAAAAGTGCATATTCATAACATTTTTGTGGTGTACAAACTATTGCTATATACATCAATCACATTAGTCATGAGTAACAATCAATTAACAGAGCAATGCGGTGGGCTTAGCTAATTAAATAGAAACAGGTAAAAATAGTGTACGTTTACTAAATTCTATATCTGTCGCGACTACAATCTCTGAAATCTTACAAAAAAAAAGCGCTATGGTTATAATATAATTACACAATATTTCCTTATAACAAACACGTTTTATCAACAAATAGACGCGTTTCAAATATCATATTGTGCTAGCCATACCATCGTACTAAGTATTGGTACTTCTCGTAAAGGGCAATACAAGCAAAAATAACACGTTCTGATTGATCGTTTAATTTAAGGCATAGGCCCAATTTGATAGGCGCTACTAACAGTTTCATACATTTTACAACTACATATACTTTCTCTCTTTTCATTTTTACAAGCTTATTATTAATAACGAATTAAATAGAAGCAGATAATAATTTTTTTTACTATCTCATCTTTTGTGGTGAATTTATTGTTGATTTTAGTCGTAGTGATAAATGGCAAACATAGTAATGATCATCATCATCATATTCCGTTACTGTGAATAACCTCAGTTGAGTATAGTCGTACAATGTGTTGTACAGCACTCATATGTCGCCGTCAAAAGTGAAAGAAAGGGATATAAATAAATAAGTAAATAAATAAATATAAATAAAATTAAATAAGTAAATGAATAAATATATAAGTAAATAAACATACAATGGTGAATCTTGCGATCAGGACCACATAGTTGATGATGGTAAACGTGGGAATTAAGCCCTCTTTATTACCATATTATTTAGAGTTCGAGAATTAATTTATGTGAATGGTGTCAGTTTGAGTATATTTACTCCACTAGTTGAGGCTTAGGAGCCTAGTATACAAAGTACAATAATAACACTAAATGTAAAACTTCAACTCTGTGTTGTCTAAATTTGCCCGTAAACACGTTAGTAAAACCAACGACAGTAATTCTAGTCCACTTCTATGATAGAAATGGAGAAAATTTGATTTTTTTCTTTCTTAGTGATATTATAACAAATACAAAGATCGGAAACGTGGGATTGACGGTAACAAAAATTACGATGACGACTTGGTTGTGGAGACTGCATACACTTTTTAATGTTACATATTCATCATTTAGCCATACCATCGTACTCAGTATTGGCACGTCTCGTAAAGTGCAATACAAAAAAAAAATAACACGTTCTGATTGGTCATTTAATTTAATCCTAGGCCCTATTTGATAGGCCCTACTATGAACAGTTGACATTTTAAACTACAATATATACTTTCTCTCTTTTCATTTTACAGGCTTATTATTAATAACGAATTAAATAGAATCAGACATAAAATTTTTTTACTATTACATCTATTTGTGGTGAATTTATTGTTGATTTCAGTTGTAGTGATGAATGGCAAACATAGTAATGATAGCAAACGTGGGAATTAAGCCCTCTTTATTACCATATTATTTAGAGTTCTAGAATTAAATTATTTGAATGGTGTCAGTTTGTTTGAGTATACTTACTCCACTAGTTGAGGTTTAGGAGCCTAGTATACAAAGTACAATAATAACACTAAATATGTAAAATTTCAACCCAGTGTTGTCTAAATTTTCCCGTAAACATGTTAGTAAAACCAACGACAGTAATTCTAGTCCACTGTCAATATGATAGAAATGGAGAAAATTTGATTATTTCTATCTTAGTGATATTATAACAAATACAGAGATCGGAAACGAGGAATTGACGGTAACAAAAATTACGACGACGAACTTGGGTGTGGAGGCATTGATGATGAATATGTAACATTAAAAAGTGTAAAAATGTTGGTGCTATTGCTCAAGGTGGTCTTGATGTCCCTAGAAATCCGCAGCTTGGCGTAAAAACTCCTAAAATGCCGGTGTTTGATGAGAAGCTAGATCAAATGTATGTGTATCTGATGCGGTATGAAAGATGTGCCACCGCACAAGCTTGGCCTGAAAATTTATGGGCTATAAATTTAGCACCTTTGTTATCTTCACGTGCTTTAGTTGTATACACATCACTTGATATAGGCTCTGCGCATGACTATAAGATACTTAAACGGGAATTAATGAAAGCGTATCAGTTAACTGAAGATGGTTATCTTAAAAAGTTTAAAGAATCCAATCCTTATTCAAAGGAAACTGCTGCCCAGAATTTGGCCCGAATAGGAGGGTACTTTGACCATTGGATCACCTGTGCGAACATCGATAAAGATTATAAATCTCTAAGAGAATTTTTAATTAAGGATCAATTTCTCCGTAGTGTACCCGAGGTATTATCCGTATTTCTGAGGGAGAAACGAGAAATTGACGATTTTTCACTGACTGCTGATAGGTACTTAGATGCCCATGGGGGTTGGGATAAGATTAATCGTATTAACAAAAAAGACAGTTTTAAACATTTCAAAACTAAAACAAAACAACCATATAACTTAGGTCAAAATTATGGCGAAAGGGGAAGGTTCCATCAAAAGGACGGGATTGGTAATAGTAATTCTAATAGTAAGCAGAACAGTAAACCTGCTCGGACATGTCATTTCTGTAATGATGTAGGTTATTTTTGGAGGAATTGCCCAAGGGCCCCTGAATCATTTGTACCTGCCATGGCCATGATGGTCGAAATAATGAAAACTGATAATGCCCTGCTTTAATGCCCGCCTTGACTTGTTTCGGAGCATCTTCCCAAATGCCTGTTAGTAGGGGATTGTTTAGCAATGTTGATGTTACGGTTCTCAGGGATACCGGTTGTAACGGGGTAGTGGTCGAAGCTAATTTGGTTAATGAGAGCGATTTTACATGGGGAAAGAAAACATGTGTGCCTATCGATGGGTCGATTAAAGAGTTCCCTATTGCTGAAAGTAATGTAGACACTCCATTTCTGAAGGGGTGTGTATTGGCCTTATGCATGGAGCGACCATTGTATAAACTTATTGTAGGAAATGTTGATGGCGCAAAGGAACCATCAAGTTTCAAACTAGATTATTGGATGGGGAACGATATCAGATCCCATGATAATGAGGAAACAATGCCCAGCGATAATATTGAACTGTGTCCTCATGTTAATCCGGTAGCAGCGGTACAAACCCGTGCAAGCGTTAAGAAAAATAAAACACCTAAACCACTGAAAGTGGCTGAGCCGGTACTGGCAATTGCCGATGAAAGAATCTGTAAAGCATTTAACTGCATTTATTACCCATAGAGGGTTGTTTCAATTTAAAACAATGCCATTTGGCCTGGTTAATTCCGGTGCAAGTTTCAGTCGGGTAATGAGAAAATTATTGAAAGCTCTGCCATGTACTCATAATTATATAGATGATATTTTGGTACATACTAAAACCTTTGAAGAACACATGAAAATATTGCGCTTACTTTTTGGTCGATTGAGAAAGGCCGGATTTAAGGCAAAGCCATCTAAAAGTGAAATAGCCTGTTGTGAATTGAAGTTTTTGGGTCATATTGTTGGTAAGGGTGTTATGAAGCCACAGACGAGTAAAATTGAGGCCGTTAAGTGTGCGCCAAGACCCGAAAAACAAATCACAAATGCGATCGTTTTTAGGATTAACTGGTTATTACCAATGTTTTATTCCTCATATGCTACCATAGCTACACCGCTGACGAAAGATGTGTATAAGAGACAGGGTTTATACTGGTCGTGGTTGATTATGCCACCAGATATCCGGAGGCTATACCAATGAAATCTATTGAAGCAGAAACAGTTGCGGAGGGGTTGTTAGACATATATTCTAGACTAGGTTTCCCTAAAGGAATATTAACAGATCAGGGTAGCCAATTCACCGCTAAAGTCACTGGCGAAATAAATAGGTTATTATCTATTAAGGCTGGTACCACCAGTCCATACAATCCCAAATGCAATGGCCTTGTTGAACGATTCAATGCTACTTTGAAGGCTATGTTAAAGGAATTATGTGAGGAGAAACCAAAAGACTGGGATCGGTACTTAAACCCCTTACTATTTGCGTATAGAGAGGTCAGGGGCGGATCCAGAAATGTCCAAAAGGGGGGCCGGAAGGGGGGCCGAAAGTTGGGCCGATTGAGACAACAGTGTCGTAGGGGGTCCAGGGCATGCCCCCGCGATTTTTTGTGTTCTAGACGCCCGAACATAACATTTGAGGCATTCTGGGCTATCATTTTTTTATTTTTCTCTCTTTTTTTTCATTTTTTCCCTTTATTTTTACCTCCCAAAAGGGGGGGCCGGGACGAGTGGACGAGTGTGATAAAGAGTATGATGCGTTACATGTTGAAGAGTGCGAGGAGTTGTATGAAGGAGTGATGAATTTGCCACCTTCAATCTCCAAAGAATCCTTTGAGGATATTTATATAAGTTCTTAATTGACATGGGAACAGAGTAACAAAGTAAAAAGATTGATTAGCAATTATAAGGATATTTTCTCTGATGTCCCAGGTGTAACTACTTATGGGGAGCACGATATCCAATTGACAGACAATGTCCCTGTACGGAGAAGACCTTACCCAGTCCCACATGCGATTAGGGATAAGATAGGAAAGGAAATAGACTCCATGATTAAAATGGGTGTCGTAGAACCTTAACAGTCCGTATGCTGCACCTCTTGTCATTGTAAAGAAACCTGATGGTTCTGATAGATATTGTGTCGATTACCGACAGTTAAATACTAAAACTGTGTTCGATGCCGAACCAGTTCCAGATCAGAATGAAATCTTTGCTGCTTGTTCATGACAAATACTTTAGTCGACTTGACTTAACTAAAGGGTACTGGCAATTGCCGATGAAAGAATCTGTAAAGCATTTAACTGCATTTATTACCCATAGAGGGCTGTTTCAATTTAAAACAATGCCATTTGGCCTATTTTAGTTGTATTTGTAAAAATGAGTATGATTTGAATATGTCATGCCTGAATGCATTAAAACATTGTGAGGCGGCACGAGTAGTCTCTACTCTAGTGAGTACCATATGGGAAGACGTGCGTGTCAAATATCACCAAGTAAACTACAGTGGTAGTTAGTTGAACGGTCGTGGATTCCGTTTTGGTTATGTATGCTAGTTGGGCTAGCATTGGTGAACTCCTATGAGATGGTACTGGAGTATGGAACTCGCTAAGCTGTATGGGTCATTCGATGATACTGGTGTAGTGTATAATTATAATGTTAATGCATATCATTAAGGTTTAATACTCGTTATTTATGACAAATGTGAAACATTTATCTTAAGTAGGGGGGTGTTAACGAGTATTTTGCCGTGTTGGCTTTCCAATGATTTATTATGAATCGATGGCCTTCCATACTTGGCTGATTGCGTATATAACAGTGCAGCAGGTGGAAGTGGGTCTCTTCAGCGTTGGCTACTAGGGCGAAACGTTGGTGTAGCCTGGAAATCGTCTCATTGCGGCTAGTTCTGCTCATTGGAGGGTGAGACTTAACTGAAAGACACACCTCGTTGAATGAGATAGCCTAGAATTAGCAACAGATTGAGCCTGGGTGTTCTGGCCTTGTATAGCGATTGTGGTACGACGGCAGGAATTGCTTCAACCGATTCAAGCACGTGGGCTGTGGATTGTAAAGCTAAGCCGGTTGGATGTGGTCCAATGTACGTTGCTAAAGGACGCGTGGTGTGGTAGCGACGCGTACACAAGCCAAGCAGTCAGTCAAGCAAGGACTTGATAACATATCCTTAATGATTTATGTTATGCTGTATGTCTATATGTTAGATGTACTTAAGAATTATTACTTTATAATTTGTATGCGAAATTGTAGTAGCATTGCATGCCTGTAGGTGAAACTGTAGTATTCTTGGCACAGTACATCCAAACATTTGATGCTTATACATTCGAGAAACAAAGTCTCAATGTAGTATTAATCTTGACGCTGTGCATCCATACGTTAGATGCTCAATTGTTCATTTGTTTGAGAAATTAAACCTCAACATGGTAACTATTACCTCGTATTGTATCTTTATTGTCGTATACACACAAAGTGCATAGTGGTGGATGATTGATACCTGATCCTTTATATCGGATCCTAACTAACTTGTAACACTCATCAACACCATCATCTTCGCCATCACTGTTGTAACCATTTTAAGTTCTGATTCTACCCCCTCTGAAACTACCAGGATTTTATGGTCGTAGTATAGGCCTACCTATAATTTATTGCTCCACTAAAGGTACACGATGTAAATTCAAAAAAGAAAGAGTCGTATATTATATATTAGGCATATAATATGTGTCAACAATAAACAAGAATGCTTTTCATTTATTTTGTTTCAAACTAATAATTATACAGATCATCATATAATTTATAAATTCATGTATTAAGTGTTCCAGGAATTCCTTCAATATCTCGCGTAGAGATGCTCAATTACTGGCATAACGTTTCCCACTGTAGAATAAAAGGTAATGTTATTTTATTTGATCAAATTCTGCATGAAAACAAATACCAGTATTCCAGATTACCTGGTTCGCTCTAGTCCTACAAAAACATCGAAATATATTTCTGTGTAGTTTTCCCATTGCCATTTTCTTCTGACTCTGGACCAGATTAACCTTTATTGAAAAATTCACCAGCAAAGTTCTGTAGGTATTTTATACACCAATTGACGACTGGCAAAAGAAACATCCTGGATAAGTGTGTTTCGATATACACATAATTCACACATATCATCCTTAACAGAACGTGTTGTATAGATACAAAGTTGCTATTAGGCTTAACGCTATCCATGACGAAACGTTCATTAGAGGAATTTCTGCTATCGTTTTGTGTTGAGTATACGATTGATCGAAATTGTTGTGAAAAAAAATATGTACATATAGGCCTATATAGAGTTGGAAACAAATTCAAATTTTTAAAGTAATGATTGACGACCATACTGTATATAGACACGAATTAAATGTTTTTTTTATCATTGATTGTAAATACAAAAAAAAAGTGACTTACCCAACCTCCTTGGATATTAATCCATTCCAAAAATTCGTCTTCACGTATTTGTCTACATTCAGAATTACTTGATCAATCAAATCAGTTCTATTTCTATCTTTACATAAAACAGCTAACCTCGCTCCAAACACAAAAACCATAATTATACGGCCCCAGTTTATGATGTTGTCGCTAAACATTTCTGTTAAAATGTCTTTGAAAAACGTCTCGATATTCTCCTTTGAATCAAGCAAAACTTCTCTAGTTAATTTATAAAGATGTTCATTGTGCATTTCATACATCTTTTCGCAACATTTAAACAAATTACTGTTCATATCCTCTATATATTCCATGTCATTGCCTAGTTTATATGCCACAAACGCTGAATTTATTTCTCGTGCAATTCGTTCAGTTTCCATCTTTATGTTTTTCCCACTAAAAACAAAATTATGTTTCAACTTTGAACACGATCTTCGTGGATAGGTATTCGTAAAGTAAACACTAAATTGAATGTAGTTGAAACTAATTTTATGTTCTTAGCCTATAATTTCTTTTAAATTTATACACTACGGGAATAAATGTATTACATGACGTTAGAAGCGGGATATTCAAACCATAGTCACCAGCGGTCACTGATACATCTAAACCATTAGAAATAGCTATTTACATGAGCCAATAGAAATTGTCTATTCCACACCACGTCACAAAATTACATTCACCCGGGCAATTCAAACTATAGTCAAAAATTTACAGTCGCCAAACTGTCACCGATAATCCCCCCTAACTTAACCCTTTGTTTTCAAATTCAATACCCTCATTAATTTAATTGGCAAGAAGATTCTTTTGTGACTGTAAATCCAGCACTGGCAGACTTATCTCCCTTTTGTCTCAATTTTCACTCTCATTGTCACCAATTTCTAAAGAACACACAAAAGTGGACTATAAATTTTAATGAAACATGACAAACCTAACACGCTACACATCGCCACTTAATTACACCACTTTTTGTTTTTTCATATTTTAATAAACCCAATAAACCCTCATATACCCCCTTCATATGCTTCAGCCATTATGAGGAAAATAACATTAATAAAATTATTAATAAATAATTATGAATTATGATGACGTAACATTCTATTGTTGAACTTATCTGGTCTATTAACTACTAGTATGATCGAAGCAGGGACACGTTAGCTAAGATGCACCAAAAATTAAGCAAGCAAAGTTAAAAGGCTGGTAAAGTTTGCCAAAAATTACATCTGGTGATAGTTAAAAGAGCAGTAATGTGCAACTCATATGTTTATACCTTATATTGGTTTCTGAATAACGTATGAGATATTAGTTTAATTGTGATATTGCATTAGGTGAATACATACATTCTATAATAGAATAATTTGCCGGCGTGAGACTTTAGTTAACGCACCCTCCCCGACGAAAAATAGAAATATTAGAAAAACATAAAAGTGTTACATATTTTTATTATGGCTTTCACTCCCCTGAAATATCCACAAATTAGATAACTTTAAAGTATTTATCAATCTCATTACAACACTTCTTTCAATCCATATCAATGAAAATTTTATTTTCATTTTGTCCTTCACTTTGCTTTTGGCAAAATCATTTTGCAAAATAATTCTTCCCTCCCTCTGACGGCTTCTACAAAAATAAGTTCACTAAACAAGGCACAGTATTATTATTCGAAGTCTTTCCTTTACTTACCTGTCTACATGTATGTTAATGGTAGTTAATCAATATACAAATAGTGTATAGTGATAGTAAAGCTGTCAAAAGTATTCACGACAGCAACAGTAATATAATAATAATTATTAATAAATGTTAGTGTATTGCACCACTTCAATTTATCTTTTCTTCCTCTGAATCTGTGCAGATGAATATTATTTATTGATGGTGTCTATTTTATTAAACATATAACGTATATTGTTGGTATTTGTATCTGTATTTTAAATGTATAAATTTATGCTGGAATGTCAACTTTCTTCACTACTGTACAATATATATGCTCTCTCCTTGTGCAATTACACTCGCACAAAATTGCACATCTGAAAAAATTGAAGCAAGTAAATTATAAAATAGTCAATAATATTAAATCTGTTAAGTTATTTTTCTTTATTGTTCTCTTTTTTTCTCGAATTATAAATAATAAAACCAGCTTATACATGATATAATAAAGTGTGAATTAACAGAGATAATTCACAGCTAATAAATTAAGGCAACCCTTAATTGTGTTTGTAAATATTAGCTAACAAATACAGTAATAAATATAATAGTACAGAAGAGTCAGAAAAGCAGATATGTGACCATTAGTACAATCACAAACTTTATCTATTTAAAAAATAAATAATGCAATATCTATTTTTCCGAAGTGGTACTGTTATTACTATTATTTGGAAAGAGTGTAATTTACATTTTTTGACTTAAAAGAATAAGTTTTTTCAAGGTTTTGGTTTTCTGTATACAATAGGTTATAGGAGACTTTCTTTCTTTTTGGTTTCAAGAAGTACTCAGTGGAACATTTTCAGTATAATGTTCTCTTCGCACAACCTTCCATTACCCAACTGTGTCTTTCCTAAATGTTCTAAACTTATTTTGACATTATAGACAACATCTGGCTTTTTACTTTGTACATTTGCTCATGTAATTTCGTTAGGTATTCATCTGGAATTGGCTGTGTTGAAGGTAGTGATGAGATGGTTCTATGCATTCTGCTATTAGCAATGTCTATCAGTCAGCATTCCATCCAGAAGCATCCAAAAAGGCCAAATTTCCACTCTGTGGTATCATTTCAT